GTCCACATGCTAACCACTAAAGAAGGATGCATAGCACACTGAAACAGAGGTTTACATATCTACAAATAGTCCCATTTAACAGAGCATGGATGACTACTACTACATATAACACATTCTGAGACAATGTAGTTTATGGAATGAGACTGGACTCTATCCCCAACTAGTCTAATCTCTCAACTCTTACTCAATAAGAGTTGTGAAGGGACAGAGTTATTGCCAACAGATAGTATAAATAGTGATTTTAAATCAAGCTCTCCTGGTTCTTAATCCAGTCCACCTTCCTCTGAGTCCAAGGGTGTTTTGATGGGGCAGAGGAGAAAGATGATATAACTGTCTTGTCTGCGCCTTCTCCAAAGAATTTAATTTACCTGTGACATGCTGTAGTGATGCACAGAGAGTGGTTTATGGGCTGATGAAACATTGAGGGACAAGCTCTCCCTGGGGACTAAGGGGTTAACTGTAGCTAACCAGGTGGCAGTCGGCCAATAGAAATGCAGGTAGCAATTTCAAACTGGGACAAAGGAATTTTTGGTTTTTCCCTCCTTTGTCCCTGGGCAGTTTTCTCTCCAGATACTGAGGGAGACAGACATGTCTCTCTCTCTCTCTCCAAGAAAAGACTCTTCTCTATCTGTAAGTAGGGTAAAGTTTAGATAAATCCATTAGGTTTTATTGTTTTATGGTTTGGGGATGGGAATCTGATGTCCATGCATTTGAAATGGGTTTTCCTCTCCTTTGTAACTAAGCTTTGGGCCCATGGGGGTTCCCTATGAGTGTATTAATTGGTGACTTTTCCATCTAGTCATTATGCTTGTAACAGGAGTATTGTGTTGATAATAAAAGTTCTTTCTTTTTTTTATTAACCTAGTATTGGTTAATTTTTGTGTCCTGGTTTTACTTTAGGGCTGAGATTTCCCAAGTGATCTCTTCCCTAGTTTTCTTACCGTTACTTGGGTGGTGGCAGCGGATTTTTATCCCCAAAATCTAGGTTTTTAAGATTTGGGGGGGAAGATTTTATACCAAAGCCTGGAAAGATAAGGTTTTGAGGTACTCTTGCAGGCCCCCACTTCTGCATTCATTGTGCCAAAGTGGGGATTTGACCTTGACAAGCTGCCAGCAAACCTGCCCAGCACAACTCAGGTGGGAAATAATGATTGTCAGCTGCTTAGAACCAGGTCCAATCAGAATGGAGTTTCATGGAGACAGCAAGTGGAACCTCCCTCACCCATGACTCTAAGGGTACGTCTACACTGCATGGCTATTTCAGGATACCAGAGGTATCCCGGTAGCTACCCTGCATCTACATAAGCCGCGCATTATTTTGAAATATTTTTTTAAATACCAGGTGTGCTATTTCGCCATCCTAGTAAACCTTGTTGCACGAGGGATAAGGGTTGGCTTGAAATAGCGCTTTATTTTGAAATTTGGCGCTGTGTAGATGTGCCAAATTTCAAAATAAGCTATTTCTAAATAGATTTGAGATAAGATATGCAATTTCCATAGCTCAAATTGCATATCTTATTTTGAGTTTAGGGTGCTCTGTTAGATGCACCCTTAGTTTCAGTCTCCTGCTGCAAACTCTGGGAGAACTGGAGTTCTCCAAAGAAAAGTATAACATTCTAGGCAGCCTAAATATATGTCCCACTATGGCTCCCTGCATAATGACAGCAAGTCCCTCCGGTACAGCACTGCTAGAGGAGACTTCCGCAATGCAATTTATATTTTAAGGGCTTGTTTCTGCTTTCTCTAAAGTCAACAGTAATACCCTCACTGTCTACATTGGCAATGGCTCCTCTGTTTCTTTTTAATATTTCTATTTCTTTTCCTCCTAAAGGCAGTTCTTGTTTAAGAAGCACAATTATCATAGTTTAAATGTAATCACTTCCCTCTCTCATTCTAGTTTTAGGGGGTGCTGAGCACCCAGTTAAGTTGCAGTGCATGGCATTTCTCAATTTTTACTACTTGTTTAATAGACTTTTTTATTCTACAAATAGCTTATTTCTAAGTTTAGCATTTAAAAAGTCAGTCTTCAAAAAACTTCAATTTGACTCACTGTCACTTGCGTGGGGCTTACAGTAAATGAATAGATGGAGTTTTTCCATATTGCAATACAGTAAAGAAAGGCTTGTGTCTTTAAAATAATTTTCAACTCATGAAACCATCATGCAGTGAGTCACATTAATCCAGAACGCATGACATTCTGTAAATGTCACACCACGTGTATTTGGTGTCGTGTATTTTCATGGTGTATTTTTAAAAGAATATAAGTATGAAGCTTATATAGAGAGAGAAACAATTTGTAAGTAAAAGATGAGACAGTCAAATCTTTTATAAACCTAGAATTAATCCTCTTGTTCTTACTTAGGCAGAAGTCCCCTCAAGTGCTTTATATTCTTAACACCTATAAACAGTTTGACATCCCCCCACCCAAAACAGAGAGGTTCCATGAAACCCATGAGAGCATTTTCTATTGTTCATTTTCCTTGGAAGGTGCCAGATGTTGTGATGATGGGCAGCTGTCTAA